CGGTCAAATTTCATTAGACTTGCACAAGTTTTGGCCTCAAAATCAATTTGGCATATAAATCTGGGTAAATTATTCTTGATTTGTGGTTTTGACCGATTTGCAGTAAATGTATATTCAACGCTTTACATAAGCACTTAATGAATATGTGTTCCAGCGATTTATGAAGTTTCGCCTACAACAGTGGTTAATTGGCGTACCCCTCGATCGGTTTCAAACTCAATTTCAAAGATCGTTGAGAGAATTTTTTACACGCACTAAAGCAGTCGAAGGATTATCTGAAACTCGCATTTAATCTATCTAAAGGTACATAGGATTTAGCATTTGTTTAATATCAGCTGTATATACTTTCGTGTGAATGGAAAAATATTTGACATCGTAAATACGAGTTTTCTGGCACTTGCTAAAATTGTCGCTATCCATTAATGCAATGCTTAAAGCAATGCACTGCAGTGAAAATCCGTAGCGCACCTTTATTTTGGGCAATCTCATGCAGCGTGGCCACGCTCGGCAATGTGCAATGGTCTTGAAAATTGAATGTCAATTTTCGACTCATTTCACGGAACACTTGAATTACTTTGCTGAAAATAGCGTAGTGAGGAGGTGAACCTGCAATTGGCGGCTTATTTGTACACTTTTCGCGTTACTTATTCTTAAAACTTGTACTTCACGTTGTCAACATCAAGTGGCGCCCAGGCCACGATAACCCTTGATAAACTGACCCCATCCAAATTCTTGGCAGATACCAGTATGGATGGATTGAAGATCCACCAAATATATTTAACTAATTGAATAACTGAATGTCTGGGGGTTGAAAGTAGTAGAGAAATGCTTTAATATTTTTATACATGCACATGTATGCACATGAAAGTTCCGTAAGAGTCTATATAAAGGCTAACCAAGAGTAGATCACTTTATAATATGATTTCTAATAAATAAGAAAATTAATCTATTTAGATCTGGGCTTGGAATATCGCCTATAAAATATAAAGCATTAATGATTTTCTGATACTCGCGCTCTTATTTAAATGTATCCTCACTCATGTATTCATGCTAAGGGGATGTTAAATATGTGATACTTCAGCTTCAGTGCAGACTGTGGTTAAACTTCCTCATTGCTTGCCGAGTAGCACCGCAAAGCGCTATCCGTGCTATTCTTACTAAGAGCGTGTCAATTGCTGCACTATTAGGGTCTTTGTCTTATTTCCTTGGAGTGGTCAGCGTATATTGCAATTTCTGAATCGCTCAAGTTGTTACTGTTTTTGTGGTCGATTTTCCATTAAATCGAGTTGCTTCTGCTCTTGAATTGGCTCTGCGGTCATGTCGTTGGCTGGTGGGCTGCAGAATCCACTTTACACGGAAAGAGCTTGTAATAGCCTCGCTCTTGTGGTATTTGACCAAATTTACTCCTTTGGATAATAAGTTGCAGATAAACTTGAATATGTATTTCAATCAAAGACGTGTTCATTTTTATTATTATTATAATGTTTTAATATAATCAAGACCGCTCGGATCTTACAAAAATCGAAATTCTGCCGGTCACTTGCATGAATATAAAAAGTTTATCAACTTTTTGTGTGTGTGTGTGTGAAATGAGTTGTTAATGCCTCGTTATATTTTAATCGTTGTTAATGTCTGTTACCATTCTTAATGTCATCTTGACATGGCTTACACATTGGGCGCAGAAATTGACTATCGACCGCCCTGTTGTAACATGTAAAATCCATTTATTTCGACAAATCCATTTATTTGGACAAAAATCTATATCTATTCCATTCATTTGCTCAACGAGCATTTCTTTCACTTTAGTGCTTCATGTTGTTCAGTAAGCACAAGTAAATTGATGAGAGTGATCAAGCAGGCAGCAGGATACAAGCAGGCATTTAAAAGCATATATGTCAACATAAAAAACATCGATGCTTATTATTTGATAGTTGGTAATGATTAGTAAAGCTAGGCAGCATCATGTAGTTTTATTTGAAATTAATTAAGTTTTGATATTGACCTGTTCATAGAGGCACACATGTCTTATATTTGGAAAACAGTGCTCGTATTGACCACACATACACATGCACGCCTGACTGAAAAGTCAGTAAAGTGAAACTTTATTTGCAACATTTGCTTTTGCAATCCATCTTATGGCATTGCAACAATATTTACACTCCTGCCGTTGTTATGACATGAAGATTGGCGCTTGTATCGCTGTTGTTCCTAAGCATCATGCTGTTTCTGCTTGGCTTGTTCTTTGATGATTAATTATATTGCTTTGTTCTATTTGTGCAGTTTCCATTGCAGCCCATCGTGCACATGTGCGTGAGTGGACACGTATGTATATATAAATGCATGTGTGTATAAGTATTCTCGTATTTCAATAGCACTGACTTTGGCTGGTCATATATCGGGCTACATGCCGCACACCAACGACTACTTACATTTGTACATACTTATATCAAGTACAAGTAGTTGCAATTGCTATTGTTCGCAGCAATGCAATAATGCGGTCTCAAAGGCACAGGCCCAGGCCCAGGCACAGACAAACATACGTGCAGATGGATGTGCTGCTCGCATGCTGTTCGTTTATGTTGGTGTCATTTCCAACAATATGCACAGCAAGCGTTTATTATATCTGACAATGTTTCAAAAGTTAAGTTGCTTGTGGCCACAGCAACTTGAAACTTGACTACACACATACATATAAATGCACTGATTTGTGTTTTTTGTTAATTAAATACAAATTAAATAATTACTTATCTTTCTATCATCCGTTTTGCAACTCTCCCATTATGTGCCATCGATTCTCCGGTTCGACAAAAATCATTAGGCAATAGAAAACCTCACCTTTTTCGAATTCATCTAGCAATCATTGCGTTTAAAAACAAATCCATTTCAATTTTAAAACAAAGAAAATATAAAAATTTATATATTTCGAGATAAACAAAATTTATAGTAATTATTCTGAGTATGGCTGTTAAACATCTTACTAGGACCCAAAAGAAACACAAACAATGTCCTACAAATATTAACTCAGCGCATAAAAAGCTGATCCCGAAATATGCCAAGTCCAATAATAAGGTTCTTTGCCAGCAGCAGCGAATTCTGAAGCAGAACTTCCGAAATACATCCAAACGTCTGGAGCTACCAACTGTCCATCGTGTGTGGCGCAAAACGATAGTGCGGATCAAGCCTAAACCAAGGAATCTGGTCCCTCGATTGTTTCGTGTAGATCGGTTAACTGGGCTACCTCTTGACTACGAGCGCACTGTATCTAGGATAATGCACTACGTAAATCCACATATCTTTGACGATCCCAGTCCGGAAGAGCAAATGGAGAGACTGCTTACACGTGCATTGGGAGGAATTATAGATAACTGTAGTAATCGGTGTCCGTATTACCTTAGAAATCAAATGCGCACTTTTTTAAGAAGCCAGGGATCGAAGAGCACTAGAAGGACTGAAGGTACCGACAACGAGGATTTGAGTCAGTTTTACTGCGCCTGGTTAGTTTTCTTTGTGCTTTCTGCTCACTCATTTAATACTAATTTTTCAGCAAACGTGGGCCAATTATTCTAGAGCAAGCTCCCACATATAGAAGCAAATTCAATTACAACAGCCTTAAGATAAATACCAAATAGCCATGTCTATTGGAGTTACAATGCTGTGTAACTTTATGGATGTATAGCCATATGTTATACATAAATATGTTTTGAAATTGCTTGTGGTAAAGGACGGAAAATGAGTTCTTTGTATATGTTGGAAAATGCTTTGACGTGGTAATAAATCGAACAGCGCTATGCAATTAAAAACCCAGGCTAATTTACAAAATGAGTGGGTAATAAGTGGGTATATTTTATAGTAGGTGAAAGGCTCTGGCCATATTTTGACTATCGGACTAACAACCAGAGCCATGGTCAGTAATAACAGCTCAATTGTATGGAAAAGTATTTAGGCTTCCTCGCTCTCTAATTTGCTGCTGGCGCTTTCCCCCCCGCCACCGACCGCCAGCTAAAAAGCTAGCTGCGACGCATTCATGTCAATGGTTGTGACAAGTGCACTTCCAATGCTTTGGTGTAGTCACAAGCCTTGCTCCCTGCCCCTGCATGGACTGGCTGGGCGGTACTGGGCCACTTGAGTTGAGTTGACAGGCAGAGCCAAAGAGCGCGCATTTAACATTGTCAGAACAAGTGCCATTGTGGAGCACTTTAGCGATTCCGCAATGCCAATATATCTGCCACTAACTACACTGCACAGATCGGCTCTCGATCTGGGTGGGTGTTGTGCGTGTGCCAACTCGGTTAAGCATCAGGCAAATATGCCAAGTGCCGCCAGGCAACATTTTCTGTTCACTAATTTGAATAGCATCCAGCATCGCAAGTAGCGTCCTTTTAGCGGCAAGCTCATCCTTTTTAACATGATTTACTAGATACATATTTAATGCGATTTTTAAGCTGGGTACAGCAGTGGATTTTCTCGCATCTACAACGACCGAGCACGAAGGCCGCAAATTAGTCGCCTAAAGCAGCCGGGCTTGCAAATATCATAAGCAAGAACGCTACCTTTTAAAGTGGCTAATTATAAGAGTGCTTGGATTGGACTCTAGCCAGTCGGGAATTGTTGGCTGCCAGCGTGGACCTAAAAGAACGAAGCTTAATACTCATAGCTTATTTCTGCAGGTCCACTTGATCCCTCTGCCAGCCTGCTAGCTCTTATTAATATTTTCAAAGGGTATATGATCTTTTTATGCCCTGAACCCATTTAAAATGGGAATAAGGGTATATTGTATTTGTGCAAAATCCAAATGTATGTAACAGGCAGAAGGAAGCATCTCCGACCCCATAAAGTATATATTCTTGATCAGCATCAATAGCCGAGTCGATCTAGTCATGCCCGCCTATCTGTCCTCCGGGAGATCCCGACTAGAACCTCTTACTTGTTAATATTGTAAAAGCAGCCATGCAACATTTAACATTCTGATAAATGCGAAGGCAAAAGTTTTTAGTATCTTACTAAATTGATTATTTTTTATTCCCTATTCTTGTAATAGCCAGTTTATCAAATGTTTGTATAGACAAGCCCATGCTTGAAGATAGTAAATCAGCCATTGAAACCCGAAAATCGGTGTTCAATATTCGGTTTCCTTTCTGCTTGTTTAATACTTGAAGGGGAATACTCTTGTTAAACATCAGCCTTCTGATTGTAACTGCCATCTTTTGTTTACCATGCTCTTTTGTTTACATCTTAAGCGCGGGCTTCTTTAACGGTGTACGGCAATCATTTAGCTGCTACTTGAAATTGTTTTGGTTATTTAGCTGACGTCACAGACTTGTTTTGGTAAACAAACAAAACAACACTGAGACATCGCAGCAACGGTAATCGCATCAGCTTTTCCATCAGAATTCAGTTTTAACTCCTCATCATGGTCAGCATTGTCCTGTCGGCATCAGGGTCTGCCATACCCCTGGGCCAGGTCGCATTGGTTTGCCGGTTGGTGTCGCTGTTGCCATCGATTCTGCTTTTGACATGCGACAATATTGAGATATCGTCTCAAGTGTAAATTGTTATTGACATTTTGCGTAGCGTGCGCTTTTGACATCCATCCCCCTGTAGCAGAATCATCAACGTCAGTGCCACATAATTCTCATCCGCCCCCGATTTTCGAGCCGTTCTCCTACACCAGTAGCTGCTTCCTATTATGTTCTCCTGCTCTGGCTGTTGATTTTTTGTCTGAAAATTTGTTTAGTTTATGCATTTGATCGGTCTTCATATCATGATTTTTTTACTCGCATCCTGTTTCCATTATTAAACAACTCTACAAATATATAATTTTATTATAAACAAATTCAAGTATTCAGTATCGAAATTCTTTTGAGTGTACGAATTTGAAAACTCAAAGCTAAATTACATGTTTTCGTATCACCCAAAATTGCCTCATAATTTAAATAAAAATATTGAAAAATACCCGAAGCTACAGCAAATGATAACTGTTGACTATGCCGTTGACATTCTAATCGTAATCATTCACGTAGGTGCCTCTTCAAACCACATTAATTTGTTTATAAACTGTGAAAGTCGTTAGTTAGTTGCAGCTATACATTGTATACGTTGTCCTAACTGTGGACCTCCCACTTAGCCAGTGAGCTGTGCGGTCTAACTTCGGTTTGGGACCTTCATGGGCAGGATAAGTCGGCAAAGCATCAGGACTGTGGCGTTCATTTGGTTCGTTGTGCCTTATTCATTAGCTGGTTTCCGTTTCCGCTTCATTCAATTTTCTGGATGCCTTCACTGCGACTGACTTAATGCCGTTGACGTAGGCCTTGCGCTGAATGCTGTGCTACGTTTTTCTATAGTGCCCCTTGTTTATGTGTTTCTATGAAGCAAGCGGCCAAACACAATTTTCATAGGAGCTCCCTTGAAATGGGCCACTGGTCTGCTTTCTGCCAAGCTGACTCACTCTATTCAACAATTCATTTTCAATTTATCTTGCCTAATATCGACATGCTTTTATGGTCCGCCCTTTCGTGCCTGTTTGCTGGTAACTGGCTTAAATGGCTGACGGAATGAACGAACTGTGACTGAAGTGGCAAGGGTTTTGTGTCTTTTAACTTTGTTTTAGACTGAGTCAAAAGTATACGTTGATATAGGGCATTGGCTTACGCACACAGACGTTTTCCAGAGACTCGTCTGTATGTCGAAATGTATCTGTTTAGCAAATCTGATATTTTCTTACCTGGCTTATCGGCTTCTGCTTCGCATTACTAAAGCAATAATATAAGAAAATGCAAAGTGATACAATGTGTGTGTTTTATCAGCCGTTGACTGTCTAATTTACATACACTTGCAATTATAATTACTGGTAATAAACTAAAAAATGTACATGTATTGGCCATAATATGCGAACGTTATACATTTTTATAATATTCCACAAACTAGGCCACGCAGTTGGGTTCACAAGCAGGATAGGCAGACGAGCTCAGCTCAGCTCGTATTCATTTATTTTAATAAAGTAAAAAGCCACCTAACCATCAGCCTGTACATGAACAAATGCTGTATACTATTCCAAACTCCCTCGTCGTTGAAGGTAGTAAAATTAAAAATTTAAACGAGTTTGAAATATTTTTGTAAAAGCTCACACTTTTTGTCGTCAGTTGGGTACTGCATCAAAGATTTTGGTGTAGCACACAATCATACATGAAAACAAAAGCATGGAAAAACTGAGAATAGCTCAGGTCTCATTCATTAACATTTGTTCGTCCGCCTACCAGACTGTCAGCCTGATTATGGTTGTTCGTATTTTCACTACTTCTGTATTGCAAAAATAACAACCCCCACTTGGTGTGTTGTACACTTTTCTGTGGCAAGTGCAAAGTGCTTACATTTTTCTGGCAACGGAAATTCGCATTGCTTCCGGTTTTTTGCTTCAACTCCTTTTTACTTCGACTGCGGCTGTTGCTTGCGATTGCAAATATTTGTATGCAGCGGCTATGCCAAAAATGCTCTGCCAATACTTTCACTTACATTAGTATGTGTGCATGAAGTATTTATGTATTTATGTGTGCGGCAATAAGTTATATGCTTGTTGTCAGGCGCACGTAGTTGCCAGCCAATGCGAGCAACGAGCAGCGCTCTTGCCAAAAACAAGGGATTATAATGGCAGTGATGACCTACGTTCAGCAGCTTAACACGATTCCAAATTTTACATGCGAGCACGGAAAATTCTTTTACTTTTTTAATGGACCTGAAATGATTTCAATACAGAGTTATAAGCTTAGCTATCAATGTCCTGTTTGCTCCCAACCCAATTAAAGTACAGAGGTTACTAACATATTGCATTTAATATTTTTAATCCAGTTTTCAAATTGAAAAAAGCAAAAGAAATGATATCGCAATTTCGCCCAGGCGATAAATAAGTTTTTCTCTGTGGTCAAGGTTTATCAGCTTTATTTATGTCCAAACCATAGTTTGACATCGCCCTCAACACCCTCTATGCTTCCTTTAATATTAAGGTTTACTAGGATTGGCTATTGCTCTTATTGTTGTTAGTGGGACTTTCTTAAGCTCATCTCAGCTGACCGACCGCATGCAACTTTGTTGATATCGTTTGCTGGGGTCCATTTGCTTTCATTATATTTTTCGTTGTATACTATTTCAATTTTGTTAAGTTTTGCCGTTTCCCTTTGTGTGCGTTGCTTGCTTTTCGTATCTACGCGTAGACACTTGATGTCCCTTGCTACGTTCATAATGGAATTATTTGTATTAAATTGTGGCAACCAATAAATGAAATTGGAACAGATCTCCCAACATTATTACCACTACCTTCGTCTGTAGAGGAAGCAACACTAACACAATTGAAAACTTGTAGAATGAAGCTTTTATTCGCCTAAAAAACGCTTCAAATTAAATTAAAAGTTGTGGTTCCTTCGCCTTTGCTTCTCTTTGATTTCGCCTTTAGTGTTGCCATTTTGGAGTTCCTTGAGTCTTGCCCTATCTGCCCTATCTCGCATTTCTTTGATGTAGTTGGGTTAGGCTTGTTTATCTGGACCGCAAACAGTTTTTCCCTTAGGTCTAAGCTTTGAGCAATTTTTGTAAGTTTGTACAAGTGCAGATCTTTTTCCAATTTTTCGGTTTCCTTCTATACGCTCCACAGATTTCAGCTGTAGGACAGGGCTAGCCACGGCATAAAATCATTATTAGTTGCCACTGAAAGTAAAATAGCTCTGAAATGTACGTACTGGCTCTTGCACCTGGTGACTAGTGACAAGTGATAGGCGGGAGTAGTCATTGCATTATAGATTAGATAGATAGATAGATAATTCATGGAAGAATTTGACAAATGTATTGTATGAATTGTATTGTAATGTATTTGTTTAATTTGTCAAAATCAAATGAAATAAACTTTAAAAATTCGAAAATCATTTAAAGATTACGAGCACAATAACATATATGCTGGCTGCCCCACCCACGAACTTTCAGCCTTTTACATAGTGTTGCACAAGTCTATCAGATCCTGTTTAACGAGTTTAATAGCAGACAACATGAAAAGGAAAATAAGCTTTACATTCCTTTCTGGGACATGTTGTGGCACATTTCTTGACTGTCTGTGCTGCTAGCTGTTTAACCAGTTCAAAAGTCTTAGCGCCCTCAGAACTGTTGTCTTTTTATTTTTTTTTTTTTTTATTTAGTTTTGATTCATTTTATTTTCTCTGTGCTTTCGCTTCTAGCTTTCATCACGCTTTTGTCAATTGATTTATTAATAGATCAATGACATCTTATGAGGGTCGTTTGGAGACCCTCGCCATTGCAACCATCAGTCAACTATCGACTTGCAGCTACAGAAGGTCATGGATCATGTTTCACTCAATACCATGGCAATCAGGGACACGTCGCTTAAACGTTTTTTAAAAAAAGTCGTTTTATATTCGCGTTGGGGTGATCCGTAATAAACTTGCAACATCTCTTTCGGTCTTTTATATAAAGCTAACCCTGCTGTTCTGTGCGCGTGATTAAAAATCCTCTCAGCTTGCATTTACAATTTAATTTGCATAAATCACATTTTCTTTGCTTCGTTGTCTGCTAGGGAAACTTAACTAAATAACTAATAAACTAAATAAATAAGTTTCTATTTAAGATCAACTCTTGGCACTTGATGGCGCTGCTGGTTATACCCTGGACCCATTAAAAATGGGTATAAGGGTATATTGTATTTGTGCGAAATCCAAATGTATGTAGCAGGCAGAAGGAAGCATCTCCGACCCCATAATGTATATATATTCTTGATCAGCATCAATAGCCGAGTCGATCTAGCCATGTCCGTCTGTCTGTCCGTCCGTCCATCCGTCCGTATGTATGAACTAGAGCTAGAGACTTGAAATGGATGTGGGTGCTCCTAGTTCCCGCGCAGATCGAGTTTATTTCCGATAATCGATAACTTACTCCGTTTGCAAGCAATCGATAAAAATCGATATCGATATCCTGTTTTTTGGGCAATTTTGGTAAATAATAATAATAGAGTCATCAAACTTGACATATAGCTTCTAAAATAGAATATATATGTATTTGATGTTGGAAGAAGAGGGTTCTGTGTATCCCCTAGTCGGTAGTTCCCGATTAGAATCTCTTACTTGTTTTTTTTTTTTATTTAGCTGTTGTTATTTTTGTTTGTTTTTTATGTATGTATGTATTTTTGAATGTATCTATGTATGTATGAGTGTGCATATGCATGTATGTATGCCTGTATGTAGGTGTGCATGTAAGCATGTCTGCATGTATGAATGTATGCATGCATGCATGTAAGCATGTATGCATTTAAGCATGTAGGCATGTATGCATGCATGCATTTAAGCATGTATGCATTTAAGCATGTAGGCATGTATGTATATATGTATGTATGTATGTATGTATGTATGTATGTATGTATGTATGAATGCATGAATGTATCGTTTATTTATCTTGTTCTTATCACGGGCAATGCCGGGGTATACCCGCTAGTATGTATATATAAATATCAGAACAAAAATAATTTTTTGGTGGTCAAAGGGATCCAACGATGCTGTAAAACGCAGCTTCAGACTGCTTGCAGGAAATCTGGAAACTTAATAGAGGCGTTGGTCAGCTTTAGCACCGCAAATGGGGACAGTATTAACAAATAGAAAGCTTCGCTGAACTTACGCCATTCCAAGGCTCTTAGGCACAAACATTAAGTAAAATGAAGACGTACAGCCGTCCCAATCGAAGCCGCAAACGACAAGCTGTATAGGTTACTAAATGGGCCAAGATGTCGTTGCCATCAATGAGCATGTTTGTTAACAGGGCGGCATGTAGCCGGAAACCGCGAACTATAGCCAAGAAGTAAGAAAAGACCAACATGTAAGAAGGTAAATGTAGGAATACGAGAGTATTAAGCTGAGTGTAGCACATTTGAAAGTTCACAATGACTGCCAATTGCGAATATCGATTTTTGCATATTCCTTTATTCCTTAGTCAGCTTTTGCTTTATCACCCTTTACTGTCTTACATTGTTTATTTGGTTTGCCATGTTTAACAACTTCAATTTAAATACTTGGGTGTATTAGTGGGGCGGTACTAAACTACGACTATGAAACACTTACATACACGGTTATTAAACCTAAAAATTTTATAACCATAAATGGTGCTGATTTGATTTTGACACCTTGTACACCTCTACATAAAAGCTTATTAAAATAAGTCTTCGATGTTGACCCACTTAGGTACCCTTCATCCAGCTCATGTAATAATCATTTGTGTTGTACAAAGAGGATATCTTCGACTATTACTTGTTTAACAAGTACAAATGTCGTTATGTATGCTGTTAAAGCACTTTAAAAAGTAATCATATAGATGGCGTTGCTAAGCTCAAAAAACTCGGAATATTTGTGAAAGGAATTATTAGTTTTTAGCACTTGAGATCATTGAAAAAGGTGTTTTTATATTAATAAGGTACACACGTTTTGTGTAAACGTAAGTAAGCAAACGGATAAATATGCACAATTTAATGCACAAATGACCTCGGCCGGTCATGAATACGGAAATTGAACAGCATAAAAGCACAGCAAAGGAAGCAATTTTCCCAATGACTGCATTTGCACAAAATGGTTAGATTTAAACAAGTCACTTGCCAACTGTAAGGAAGGGAAATAGAGAATAGTAAGATTTACTGATTGCATAGCGCCATATTAATTAAAAAGAAAATAGTTGTACATGCCCACACTTACACGCATTCACACACTCAAAGATACATAAGCAGCCGATGCGAAGGAAGGTCTAAT